CCCCGTCGACGAACCTGTCGGCCAACGCGCCGGCGACCGCCACCGCCTCGGCCTCTGGACCGTCTGGCGGTGAACAAGGTCAGAGCGGCGCAAATGCTGGCCCGGCCGCTGGCGAGGCCGCGAGTGGCAGCGCCACAGCGTCGGCTCCATCAGCAGCAGCTGCGGCACCGGCATCGACACCGGCAGGTGCAGCAGCAGGAGAGGGCAGCTCGGCAGCAACGGCTGCCACGGTCCCGAGTGGCGGCGAGGCGGCCCTCGACGGCAAGGGCCAGCAAGATGGTGCCCTCACCACGCCACCGTCGATCCCCGCGGACCGCCTGGCGGCCGTCGTCAAGCCGCTGGCCACGGCCGTGTCGAGCAAGGGCTTCCAGCACACACTGGCCGTCGCGTCGCACCTGTCGACGATTGAGGGTGCGCGCGACGTCATCAGCGATGCGCTGCGCCAGCAGGCCGATGCTGCGTCGCGGTCGCTCGTCGTGGACCTGGACAAGCTAATCGAGACGCTGCCCGAGCCGACGCCCGAGGACGACGACGGCGAGGCGGCCGCCAACGCCGCCGCAGCCGACGGCGGCAACGGCCAGCAGGGCCAGGATCAGGGCCAGGGAGCGGGTGGCGATGCGGCCATGACTTCGATCTCGGGCCCGACGGCAATGGACGTGGAGCTGGCCGCGGGAGGCAATGGCGGCGGCACCAAGATCCGCTCGTCGGCGCTGACGTCGCTCGCGAGCCCCGCCAGCGCCCAGGCCATCCTGCTGCGCTGCCTTCGCGCGCTCGACTACATCATGACGGGCCGATGAGGCGAGGAAGGTCGCGACCCGACTGCGGTGCGGGCAGCTACGGAGGTGGGATGAATAGTGAGGAGGAAGAGGAGGACGAGGAGGAGGAGGAAGAGGAGGAAAGTTCGACGCGGGCGGCGCTTGTATATGATATGAATCCGGGCCTCGACGGTGGCTGCAGGCAGGCAGACAGCAGCATGCCCACCGACGTCGGTTCGAGGCCGGCGCACGCCACCAGAAACGGAAGACGCAATCTTGCCACGTCCCGGTCTTGCGCCCCAGTTTGCTGCGGCGGCGGTGGTGGCGACGACGAGCGCAGCGCAGCGCAGCACGCACGGCGGTATGATCTGGAGCTGCCCGCACCTGACAAAATAGTTACCTGGCGATGCGGCATCGACGGAACGACGTGCGAGCAGCAGCGGGGGCAGCAATTGACGCCGGAGCCGAAGCCGCTGTGCTGCGAAGAAGCAAGAAGCCCGCCCTCAGCCAGCCAGTTGTGCCGGGGAGATGGCCCAGCTCATCTGCATGCGATGTCGTCACGAGCGTCGAGGCGAGGCCAAGCATGCGCAAGCGCAAGGCGCTGACGGCCAACCGCATCTCTGGTTCTCGGCTACCTACCGGCAAGCTTTGGCCTACTGCTGTACTGCGGGGGCGAGGGCAGGCAGGGCGACGGGGGGCGGGTATCCCATCCCTCCATACATACGTCGTCGTTTCTGGATCTTCTCCGGACCATGTCGTCGTCGTCGTCGTCGTTGCCTGAGGCCTGCATGCCGACTTGGTCGGTTCGTGGTCAAGGTGAGATGAGATGGCCGACCGCAAGATGGGGATCCGGAGATCGAGGCAGGCTAGGGTGACGGTGCTACGCACGCCTGCCCGCACACTGACAGACGCGGACGTACGTGGGGCCTTCATGCCGAGGTCACCTGGTCGGTCCCCAGGGCCTCGTCCTGCTTGCCTGTCTTCTCTGCTCCCTAGCCTGCCCGTCTTGGCCAACCCTAGCTGTCTCCGCTGCGGAGAGGCGCGTTCCGCGCGAGCGACTCGTCTCGTATCGTATCGCCTTGTCGTGTCGTATCGTCGTTGTCTGCTAACCCTTGCTTTCCTACGGGTACGTGGCAATGGCCTGCTCACGCCCCACTGGAGAGCGACAGACAGGCTAGACCAGGCCGGTTCCTCGAGCTGAGCGCAACCGGGAGGGTTCCGATGGTATCGCAACCGGCCCGCTTCCGAACGACCAGAGGAGAATGAGCTGGGCAAGGTGCGCGCCGCGTTCGAGATGCAATGGAGCCCACGCGCTCCGGCGTGGACAAACGTCTTCATTCTGGCTTCCAATCGCGCCGCGTTGGCTCTCGTATTCGGCCATTGAACAGAAGACGGCGGCCACGACGATGGCGTGGCATGATGGCATGGCCAGGCAGGCTAGGGCCCTTGGGCTTTCGTTCATGCCAGCAGGCCAGCGCAGACTTAGTACGTGCTTCGATCTCGCTTTTTCCCGCGCCGCGCCGCGTGGCCGGCAGCCTAGGGCTGGACAAACAGCAAGCAAGCTTGCAAGCAAGCAGCTGAGCTTGCCTACTACCCGCCGTAGCTGTACATCTTGGGGCGGAGGTGGGGGGCAAAGTGCATCTTCCTAGCCTGTTTGCAGCAAGTGTAGCCGCGCTGGCCTAGCCCAGGCAAGGCCAAGTCATGTCAAGCCAAGCAGATCGAGCAAAGCAAGACAGGGTGGCAAGGGGGAGCTCGCGGACCGTCCCGAGACGAGGTGGCGGCCCCTCCCGGCCTACTCCCTCTGGCCCCCTCTGCGGCCCGGCCCCAACACCGACGACGAGGGAGGGCCCAGCCCGGATCGGCCGAACGGCCCCGCAGCCAATCAACAAGGCAGGGTCAATCAGCCAGTAGTCAGCCAATTTAGCCAGCCTGCTGCTGGGCTGCTGAGCTGCTGCTGCTGCTGCTGCCGTGTACCGTTGCAGCTCATCGTCGGTGCGGGACGGGAAGAGGCAAAGACACGACGCCGCAGCTGCAGGCAAGGCAGAAAGGGGCAGACTCTTCTTACTACCTAGCTGGCCAGCGAGCCAGCCACCCAAAGCCGACCAGGCCAGGCAGGGTCTCGACCCTTTTCCACGAGGCAGGCAGGCAGGCAGGCTGGCGCAGGAAAGGCAGGCAGGCAGGCAGGCGACAGCAGCCAACCCAGGCCGAGTTTAGCAGCCCCGCTGCTGGCCTCGGATGCTCAGCCAGCCCGCCTCTTTGGCTCATCCAACAAGCAAGCAAGAGGCCGCCAGCCCGCCAGCCGCGCCTCGACCGTGCGTGGTAAAGCTCGCTTTGGGAAAAACCCTCTGCCGTCCGGTTGGGTCGCCTCTCCACCCCGCCCCGCCCCCCGCTCGCCCTGCTCGCCTGGCCCACGGGCTTTACCTCTTGGCCCAACGAGCATCGGCACCGCTCCTTGCTTGCTCCTTCCTCCACGGCCGCCATCCATCGCCTGCACCCGCATCCGCGCCCTCGCTGCCTCTATCCAGCACCGCCCATCCGTCCTTCGCTGCCGCACGCTCGCCAACCTACACGCTCCCTCTTTTGTCCAAGCGCTACGACCGTTCAGCCGCCCTCTCGCCATCCCACTGCGGCCCGACACAGCCTGCCAGTCTGCTCTGCCTCGGAATCCTCTCACTCCTCGTCCCGATCCTACTCTGCTGCGGTCCGCTCTCGATCATCGCGACCACCCTTCTGTCCCTTCATCAACTCTCCCTCGAGCAAGCTGCCACCGCCCTTCTCTCGCCTCTTTCTGCCTCGCTCTCGCATCTTCCCAGCTTATGCCAGCCAGCAGCCCCGCTATCGCGTCATCCTAAGTCTCTGCTTGTCGGGCCGGCGCTCCTCGTCGCCTCCTCTCAGCCACCCTTCACTCGAGCTGCTCGCTCCTCCAGGCGACCCGGCATCGTCACGTCCCCCCGGGACTCACAGGCCCTGATCATCGCCAGCAGGCGGTCCAGTCCTTTGCTTCCGTCGCCTTTCGTCTTCGAACTTTGCCCTTCGTCGCCGCTCAAACCACCCGTCCCGGAACGACGCTTCACCTGCCGTCGCGCTCAGGTTCGCTCCATTCTCTCGCGGGTGACTTCGCCCCCCCGCGCCAGCGAGCCAGCTCACGCTCCTCGTCGACCTCGACGCCGTGAGTGGATCTAGGTTTGGTGGCGCGTGCAAGACGCACGAGAGCGGGTGTTGGACTCCCCACCGAGCCGCGCCTCGCATATCGCGTCTCTGAGCGAGCGCCTTGGCTGACTTTGGCTCCGCGACGACCCGCTCTCTTCTCATTTCAACCCTGTCGGGCCCGCTTCAATAGTCGCTGCAACCGGGCAGACGCGCTGCAGAGGAGACGCATATCATCTCGGTGACCGCCGTCCCCCTTTGAGGACAATCGGGACCTCGCTATCCTCTACCAACCCCCCTTGTCAACAAGGACCGCTGCCCTGCCCGACGTGCAGAGCGTGCCTTGAGAGCGGCGCGGATCAAGGCCCTTCGCACTCTGGGCTTCTCCTTCGTCTCATCCACCAGCATCTCTACTTTTGACGCTTGGACCGCGACAGCCAGGTGGTCTTGCTCGGCCCGCCGCACGTGATCGTCATTTCAAGGCGGATCGTGATTACATCTTGACCGCTGCCATCGACTAAGGCTTGGCCGCCGTCGCCTGCAACTCCTCCGCCTGCCGTCTAGCCCCTGCCCAGGACCAAAGGGCCCCACGGCCCCACAGTACGCACCGATCCGACACGCCGTCGCGACCGGAGGGATACGCCTGCCGTCACGCTCCTGGCCTGCCCCCAGGATTGGAAGCCCCACCGGAATTTCTCGTCTTCCAAGAGCAACAAAGCTTAGCTCACCGGGCTCCGACGGCGCCGCCTTTTGCCAAGCCTCGAGAAGGACCACGGCAGTCCCTGACTTCATTTGGGTCACGGACCGCACCCGCCGCTGATCGAGAAGCAGCCGGGCCACCAGCATCCTCGGCGATTTCAAGTCTTGACGAGCTCTGTCCGAGATCGCCAGGCTCCCACCACCATGGCCTCCACGCCATCGCGTCAGGCCACGTCGTCGAGACATGCGACGCAGGCAGGAGCGATGCCGCCAAGTCACTCGCAACAGCTCCACCAGCAGCAAGCACACTCGTCTCGGCAACCCCCCTCGCAGCAGCACCACCACAGCCAGCCGCAGCAGCACCACAGCCAGCCGCAGCAGCACCACAGCCAGCCGCAGCAGCACCAGCAACCCTTCTCTTCCTCGCCAACAGATTCATTTTTTTCGATGGACGACGGCGCGGCAGAAGGCTCGCGAAAGCGGCGGCAGCCGCTGGTCCACCTCCATCCTCCCGACCAGGAGCCGTCGTTCTCGTTTGTCTGCCTCGGCACGGGTGGCGGGCCGCTCGAGGGCGACTGCTCGTGCTACCTCATGAAGCCGGCCGACGCCGCGTGGCAGGACGGCTCCATCGTCGTCGAGGGCGGCTCCTGGCTCGGCGCGCTCACCACTGTGCTCGAGCAGACGGGTCCGGACTCGGCCTTTTACGACTTTGACTTTCCCTCGACGACGCCGACGTCGTACCTCCGCGCCGGGCTGATTGCGTCGTTTGCCGAGGCCTTTCTCATCTCGCACGCACACCTCGACCACATCCTCGGCCTCGTGCTCGGCTCGGCATCGCTGCCGGGCAAGCGCGCCGTCTATGGCCTCAAGCCCACGCTGGAAAACATCCTCGACATGTTCAACGGCAAGATCTGGCCCAAGCTGGCGAGCTGGAACGAGGACGAGCCGTACACGATGTACCACATGCGGGCGTGAGTCAAAGTTGGCCGGCTGCGCGACTGCGATACCGCCTCGCGGTCCATGCTCGCCTCTGCCTGCCGTGCTGAAGGCTGATCGCTGATCGTTCTCCACCGCACCTGTGCCCTCCTCACAACCTCGCTCTCCGCTCTCTGCTCTGGGACCGTGCCTCGCCCACGCCGTTGGGTCGCCACCGCAGCCTGGAGCCCCAACGACCCTACAGCCTCAACAACTCTCTGGTGGTGCTGCCATTTGCGCTTTCCCACGGCCTCAATCCTTCAGTCCCGCCAGCGCCGCCGACGCCAAGCTACACGCCCGCCAAGTTCACCCAGAGCTACTTTAACAAGCGAGCCTCGCTCCCGCTCAGCACCCAGATGGCGTCGTTCCGGCTGGCCAGGGGCGTCGATGAGCGCGCGCGGACGCTCGACAAGGCGGCGAGTGGGGCCGCGCCAGGCTCCAACGCTGCGGCGCATCTCGCGGCGGCCGACGCCCGAAGAGCCTCCAAGGCCAAATCGGAGAACGACAAGGTCGAGCTACCCTTCAACAGCCCATTCCGGTCAAGCGGCGCCGACCACTCCCTCGATCCTCGCGAGATGGGCCAGCAGGGTCACGCACAAGCCCACGCCCCTCTGCCCGACTCGACGCCGGCCGCACGGCCAGGTGAACCGATCTCGCCGCGCGCCAACCCCGCCCGCGTTGCCGCGACCAGCGCGACCATGTCCCCCTCCCTCTCGGCTTCCTCATCGTCGTCGTCGGTATCAAACGCGCCCGTGCCGCATCGCGGGCGAAACCGACCGAGCCGGCCGCGCACGGCGCAGGGATCCGAGACGCACAACCCACCACCATCGGCGTGGAACTCATCGGCGGCAGGACACGCAGCCGAGGGCAACATCTACAGAGCGGCGACCCAGGCCGACCGCAATGCGGCCACCGCCCCGCCATCGCACGCTTCGACGTCATCCTCGTCCTCGTCGCTGGCGCCGCCGGCGCCGAACCGGCCTCCCCGCCGCGTCTCGATCGACCGCTCACCGCCGAGCCTCGACTCGACGGCGTTTTTCATCACGCACAGCGAGCACGACCGCGACGTCCTCTTCTTTGGCGACGTCGAGCCGGACTGCGTGTCGCGGTCGCCGCGCAACCGGCATGTGTGGAGCCACGCGGCCGAGCGCTTTGCCGAGGGCAAGCTCAACGCCATCTTTCTCGAGTGCAGCTTCGCCCGCGGCCACCCGACGCAGTTTCTCTACGGCCACCTCTCGGTCGAGCATCTCTTCGAGGAGCTCAAGGTGCTGGCCATCATGGTCAAGCGCCTTCGGCAGCGGCGCCGCAGCTCGGCGGGCGGCAGCCCCACGTCGCGCTACCGGTCCAGCAACGGGTCCGGCTCGGCGGCCGCCGTCAGCACGTCGCCGTCCGACTCGAGGTACCAGCCCAGCCTGCGGCCCTCGCCACTCGGCACGTCGGCCGTCGCAGCGCCGGCGCCAGCATCGTCGGCAGACCCCAACGCGGGCCTGGGCGACACGTACATCGGCACCATCGACGACGAAGAGGTCCGCGGCCAGCTCGAAGGGCTGGCCGTCATCATCATCCACGTCAAGCCCGCCCTCTTCCCGACGTTCATGCCAGCTGCCGACGACGATGACGACGACGACGATGACAACGACAGCGAGCACATCGACGGTGACGGCGACGGCGGCGATGCCACCAGGGAGTGCGGCAAGAGGCTCGACCCAAGGTCGATGCCCGTCAAGATCCTCGACGAGCTCAACGAAGAGGAGGGCGAGGTCGGCCTCGGCGTCCGCTTTGTGATGGCCCAGCAGGGCATGCGGATAGAGTGCTGAGCTCGGCGCGAGCGCGGAGCGGCCGCCCCGTCCCATCCCCGTCCTCGTCCCTGCAGACGTGAGCGCGCCTGCGAGCGAGCGAGCGAACGAACGAGCGAGCAGGAAGACAGCGCCCCGGCGAGCCAAGCGGCGCAGGCGCGCCACGCGGAGAGGCCTGAGCCGGGCCAGGTGCTGGGTGTGGCCCGATGATGGGCCAAAGCGCCGAGAGCGCAAAAAAGAGTCGAGCGCAAGCGGGCCGAGGTGACGCACCTAGCCCTCGCCCTGCTCCTGAAATGCCTCCTCTGCGCTGGCCGGCTCTCTAGCCTGCGAGACCAGGGCAGCGGCGGAGCTGCGGGTCCAGCGCCAGCATGGGTATGCGGGCTTGCTTGCCCACCGCCGATGGTGGTCGTACGCCGGCCTCCGGCCCGCATGCCTGGTCGGCTCGCCCACCTGCCTGCTCGCCTTGGCAGGCCAGCTCCCGGCTCCGGCATCGCTGGACGCTCATGGCACCATGAGCACTCTTCGCCCGCTGCCGCTCCGTCTGGCGCGCCAAAGCCTGGCGCCTCCTTGCCGTCGTCTTACCGTGACGTGAGCGAGCGCGTATCCCGCTCCAGTGTGGCAGACCTCGGCGGCGTCGTCAAGAGGAGCCATGGAGCAAGAGGCCTGAGAAGGAGCGGACGGCGAGGAGCGCGACAAGAACGGAGCATCGTCGAGGAAACGGCGAGGCGGCCTCCGCGTGATGGGCAAGAGCCTGGGCAACGGGAATCGAGGGCGGCGGTAGTAGCGAGCGATCAAGCGAGCGACGAAATGTAGGCGGCGGCGGTGGCGGCGGCGGCTGTTCCGATGGAGCGAGAGAGCGGGAGAGCAAGAACAGACAGAGAGATAGGGAGAGAGGGGAGAGAGAAGAAAATTACAAGCGGTTCCAGAGAAGGCGGGTCGATTTGTCGCACGAGGTGTTGACGATGGGTAGTGAGCGTGCGCTGGTTTTGCAGCGGTGAGTCGGTGTCGGTGTCGGTGTCGGTGTCGGTGTCGGTGTCGGTGTTGGTATCGGCGTCGCTCGCCGTCGACCGGGTCGAGCGAAGGGGGTGATCCGGCCGAGCGGCGAGCTCCGGTGCGTGCTCAGAAGCGCTGTTGCCAGTCGATGACGGTCGAGGCAGAAAGGGAGGGTGTCTCTGGCAAGTCAGTCGGGTGCTCAGGCGCGTGCCTGAAGCAAGGGGTCGTTCGGGACGAGGGGAGACTTACGGGGAGGGTGCCAAAGCCTTCCTGAGGTGGCATCTTGAGCGGCTGGCCGATGGCGTCGTAGTTTTGCTGAAAGATGGTGTTGCCCCACCAGTTGAGCGAGAGGGTGCCGTTCTTGGGCAGCGAGAGGGCAAAGAAAATGACGAGGATCTGTCGTGTGGCCGCCGCGTCGTCGATGCGAAGGGGGACACGGAAGGATAGACAGTGGCAGCGTTAGCGAAGGGCGCGGGGGGTCGGCAGGACGGGCCAGAGGGTGGGAAGAGAGAGGGGAGAGGGGGCAGCAGCAACGCACCGAGAAGATGGTGCCGGAATCGAGGGCGGCGGTGAGGACAAAGTTGTACTTGGACCACCAGCGGAAGTTGTAGCGGCGAAGCAGGTACTCTGTGTGGATCGTAGGAGTGCGGCGCAGGCAGCGACAGAGGGCAAACGACGCGGAAGCGAGCAGAAAGGGTCAGCAAGTCGATGGTAAGCAAGGGGCTGCGACGACGACCACGACGACAAGGCGGCCACGCGCTGCACCAACTCACGGAAGATGAATCCGACGGCGAACCACGAGGAAAAGTTGATGCCGGTGGCGGGCGGGATGTAGCTGGTGCCGGTGAGGATGACGGGCCAGGAAATGTTGCGCACCCAGCTCCTCGGGTACCGCCGCGAGAGGAGCCAAAAGGGGATGGGGATGAGGGCGCCAAAGAGCATGGCGTAGTAGATGGGCTGGTAGATGGCGCCGTGTCCAAACATGCGGTCGGGCCCAATGACGCCCCAGATGAGCGACGCCGTGTAGAAGACGCTGATGTGCGGGCAGGTGAAGCGGTGCGGCTCCGAAGGGTCGCAGATGTTGGAGATGTTGGAAAACATCCACTCCTTGACGCCGAGCTGGACAAAGGCGGCGAGGACGGTGCCCATGAGCTGGGCGGCAAACGTGAGGCGGGGCGGGATCTTCATGTAGTGTCCGAGTTTGAGGTCCTGGACGAAGACGAGGCCGCCGAGGAGGCCCTGGAGCGCGAAGGCCTTGAAGATCATGTTGGGCAGCGGCCTGCCGGGCATCAGGTAGCCGGCGGCGAACTCGGCGATGAGGTTGGTGCCGATGGCCTGGCCGGTCATGGCGTAGACGAAGCCGATGGGCAGGATGTAGACGGTGGGGATGAGGACCGAGATGAGGAGGGCCCAGACGGGCATGCCCGTGTCGTAGACCTCGATCATGATGACGGCGAGGGCAAAGGAGCCGAGGAAGAGGACGGCGTACCACCAGTCGGGGCACTCGGGGTAGTGGCGCATGAATTTGGCGTGGACGTCGTCCTCCTCGGTCTTGATCCGCTTGAAGCCGCGCACGAGCGCCTTGCCGTGGTACAGGGCGGTGTGGGTGAGGACGGCCGTCATGGTGGCGAAGCCGGTCGTGTAGACGAGGCTGAGGGTGGTGGAGAGGTAGAGGGGCGAGTAGGCCTCGTAGGCGGCGCGGTCCAGCTCGCGGCCGTCGGGAATGACCCGGGCAATGTCGTACGACTGGCCGAAGCGGTCAAACGACGACGACGAGTTGAACGGCAGGTACGCCTGGAACCACGTGTTGGTGAAGTACATAGCGGGCGCGATGATCCAGAAGAAGCCGACGAAGCCGGCAAAGATGTTGCACTCGGCCCACCAGGGCATGACGAGGGGCGAGCCGATCCACGAGATCTGGGTCCAGTCGAAGGTGAGCAGGCTGAAGCCGAGGCCCGAGGCGACGCCGAAGACGACGTTGACGGGGACGTTTGTCGGGAAGATCCAGCAGACCCAGTTGAAGACCGAGAGGCCCTGGAAGAGGAAGCCGGGCACAAAGTAGAAGAAGAAGGCGGCGATCGAGGCGATGGTGAAGAAGCGGAAGCGCGTCATCGAGCCGTCGGCGCCGTCCTCTTCGGCGTGGAACGTGTTGAGGATGGTGGCGGCCACGAGGTTCTGGGGCCAGATCATCGACGCGGGCCACACGAGGAAGCGGCGGCAGATGCCGGCCAGGCCAAAGCCGATCAGCTGCGAGCTAAGGACAAACAGGATGGCGAAGCCGACGCCCTTGGGCTCGTTGTAGTAGAGCGGCGAGTCCTCGACGATGAGCACGTTGAACGCGTACGCCTGCTGGATGGCGACGCTGGCCATGATCGAGCAGAGCGCGTGCTCCTTGATGTTGTAGACGCCCGGGTTGAGCGACCACTGGTAGCCGCCAAAGAGACGGGGCAGGGTAAAGACGCGGTAGGGCAGGACGGCGGCCATCAGCTTGCCGATCGGGTAGGCGACCAGCAGCACAATGGTGCTCGAGAAGCTCGGCGCCGGATAGCGCAGGCTGAAGAACATGTTGCCGCCGGCCGTGATGACGGTGAGGAGGAACGAGATGAAAAATGTGCGGAACGTGGCCACGGGCATGTCCGGGTCGTCGATGTTGGAGACCGAGGCGCGCACTTCAGGGTACGGCGAGTCCTCCTCCATCTCCATCTCGAGCTCGACCATGCGCATGCCGTGGGAGCCCATCTCGATGCCCTCCATGTGCGGGTGGGCAAGGCCGTCGCCGCGCCCGAGCCCGGCGCCGTCATCGATGCTGATGCGGTGCAGCTTGTCGGTGGGGTCGATCTCGAAGGTGTAGTCGCCCGAGTCGAGCGGGTACTTGACATCGCTGTCCGGGCTACGCCGCAGCTGGTGGACGTGCGACTCAAACGCCGCGGCCCGGCGGTCGGCGGTGCCTGGCCGCACGGCTTGCATGGGCACCTGGCGGTCGACGGTGATGCCTCCGCTGGCCGTCGTGCCGAGATCCTTGCGCCCGGCGAGGAGCGAGTTGCGGTAGCTGCTATCCCGGCTCGCCGGCGTCGAGTCCACCTCGGGCAGCGTGTCCATCGACGGGAACGCGGCGTAGGACTTGGCCAGCGTCAGTGGGGCGCCGCTCACGTCGCGGGAGGCAGTGCTCGTGGAGTCGTAGGAGCGATTGTCGGTCGAGGCCCGCGCCGGCCTCTGCAGATCGCCGGAGGTATCTGGCCCCGGGTTCTGCCGGTAAGCAGGCGCGCCGTCCGGCGACCGCAGCTCCTCGATCATGGTGGCGCCCGACACGCGCGAGCCCCGGGCGTGATCGGCGGTGGCTGTCGACTCCATCAGCGTAGAAGGGTCGAAGTCGGACGGCATCTGGACTAGCCTGCCCTGGGAGTCATAGACAGCCCCCGTGGCCTCGTCAAAGTAGTAGGCCTCTTCTTCGGCCGGAGACGGCGCTTGACTGTGCGGCTGCTGCTGCGAGGGATGCGCCGCATTCGCCTGGCCATTGTCGAGCGAAGGATCCAGAGGGTTGCTCTGGAGCTCGGGGGCAGGCCCAAGATCGGCTGTCGACGTCATCAATGGAGCGATGCGCAACGGGTCGACGGCAAGAGCGGGGCGAACAAGTCGAGTGTCAGCGGCAGAGGCTCATTCCGGCGATCATATGAGAGGAGAGGGGCTAGGGTGAGGGAAGGTGCCGACTTGGTTGGCCTTGCACTCACGCGGAACAAAGGCAAATACATCGCCGTCGTCTTCGCTCTCGTAGTCTTCTTCCTCGTCCCACTCCTCCTCTTCGTGCTCGTCATAGTACTGCTGCGGCTGGCCGGCGCCGCGTGTCACAGGGCGGCCCGACGATGTGCCTGCCCGGGTCCCAGGTCGGCCCGTAGTGGGCCGGCCAGTGGTGGGGCGACCGGTCCGTGGCCGACCGGTGGTGGGTCTAGAGGATGGCTCCATCGCGTGACGGATCCCGCTGGCTGGGTGCTAGCTCAGCAAAACGACAGGACGTCGACTGGAGCAAGCGTGTAGAGGCCGGCTATGGACGCTATGGCAGGCCCGCAGCAGGGAGAGGGCGCAGCTCGAATATCTGCCAGACTGCCAGGGTGAGGCGGTGCGGGCTGGGATCCAAAGGCCGCGACGTATGTGAAGTGTCGGCGGGCGAGGTATGCGGGTATGGCGATCTGAGATCGGCAATAGAGGGCGGGAGCGGAGCAGGCGTGTGTATGCGCGTAAGATGAGCAAGGAAGAGGCGGCGATGAGGCTCTCGATGGGTACCTCGGGCAGCTGTGGGGATGGCTACAGCGTTGATGGAGTCGGGCTACACGCGGTGCTGATTAAAGGGCGGCGACGCTGCGGATCCCGGTGTAGGCAGAGCTGGTGCAGGTAGGCAGCAGAAAAGTACCAAGGCTGGGACGAGAAGCGGCGAGCAAAGGAGGAAAAGCCTGTGCACGATGGTGGCTTGGTAGGGGATCGGAAAAGAGGAATGTCGCCTCCGCCGCTGGGCACGAGCGCGGTATCGGGCGAGCAAGAGGAGCGCAGAGGAACTGAGGCAGAGCGAGCGAAGGCGGTGACGGTGGCGGTGATTGTCGTGGCGGCGGTGGTGGTGGTGGTGGTGGTAACAGTGGTGGTGGCGAAGCTGGCTGGCAGCGACGGCGGTGGTGGAAGCGGCGACGAGGGTGGCAGCGACACGCAAGGAGCGACGACGACACAGGACAGACAGGTAGGCGGACAGGCGGGCAGGCGGCCGACGAGAGCCAACCAAAAGGGCCATGCATCGGCTACCGAAGTGGCGGGAGAGCCAGGCAAGGCCAGCAGGCAGGCCCAGAGTAGATAGAGCCAGGGCCAACCCTCTGCGAGATCCCAGCAGCAGCAGCACCACGCCGGCCGCCCGGCTAGTTCTCGAGGGCCTGGCCTGCACGTTGGTGGAGCCGGGGGAGGGAACACCTTTTTTCGCAGGCGAGAGCCAAAACGGCAGGCGGCCTGGCCTGGCGAAGGGGGCACGCGGCCAGTCGATGCGAGCAAGAGGCAGACAGGCAGGCTGGGGGGAAAACGCTCAATGCACGCAGAGTGTGGGCCAGGCAGCATGGCTCGACCTACGACGGCCCATATGCCGCCTGCCAAACGGATCACCCGTCCGCGGTTTCGCGGCGGCCGGCTCGAAGACGGAGAGGAAAGAAGCAAGCAAGAAGCAAGAAGAGGCGGGGACTGGGCGGCCTAGCCGAAAGCTGGGCCGCGATGCTTTCGCCCGGTGCCTGGCCTATCGCGTTCCGGTACATAGCAGGCCAGGCCAAGCGCCGGCGAGCAGCGAGCGGACCACCAGGCGATGAGTGAAAGGGTATGGACGACGTGCTCCGTGTGGCGTCGAGGCGCGGCGCAGCGTGGCTTCTTCCACCTCGTCCAGCTCACCGCCGTGTGTACGCAGACACGAGCAGGTTCTATCAAGGTCGATGCTGGCATGCTGCCGTATGTCTCTCGATGGACGTGCCTCTTGTCCGCCGCGAAGACGTTGGGGGAGTTGGTGGCGGCGACGACGATGGACGAGAGGCCAGACAGGCCGGGCCAGGCCAGGCCACGCCCACGGCGCTGAGCTCGTGGTTCATGCATCCCCGTTTTGGTTGGCTGATGAGCTGAGCTCAACTCGACCGCCTGCTTGCACCTGCCACTGAGGCCTCTGGCCAGCCGAAGACGAGCAGCAGCAGGCAGGTGGCGGGGGAGCCGCTCCGCTCGCGGGCCTGGCCTGCTTCTTTGGGTTTTCCTGCGGCCGCGAGGACATGCAAGGGTCAGCCCTGCCCTTCCCTGCCCTGCCTGACCTGGCCCGGTTGGTCCCGCCGACTTCGGATCCACGCCGTCAAGGCAAAAGGCACGACCAGCTGGAGCTCGCCAAGCCATCTCGCTGTCGGGCAGGTCCCGACCGGGCCATACCCGCCGTACTGGCCCGCCTCTCGCCGTGGCTGTCGAGGCGCGCCTTAGCTTGCTTGCTTGCTCGTCTCCTCTTGCCTGCTTGGATCCCTGGTGGGAGGTCGTCGCCAGATGGGAAAGCAGAGACCCGCAGCGGGTGGCTCAGTCCATCTCTCACCTGCCCGCCAGCCTGCGGGCTGCTGCGTTCGGCAAGGAGGTCTTGCCTGCGCCAAGGCAGAGGAGGCGCTCCCGACAGAACACCGGCGGCGTTTTCGCCCTCCGCCTGGCCTGGCCTAGCCTAGCCTGGCCTTGGAGAGGACCAAAGAGAGCGTGCTCTGACCCGGCTCGACCTAACTTAGCGACCGACCGACCGACCGAGCGGACGGACGGACGGACGGACGGACTCCGGAGCCGATGGATCCCCACCTGACCTTCTTCTGCCGGCCAGCCTCGAAGGGCAAGCAAGGATGTGATGGGGCTTCCATCGCCAGCCATCCGCAAGCGAGCAACTCCCTGCCTAGTTGCCTCTGATCAGAACGAAGGGGGTTTCGCTGTACAATAGGAATGTCGGCCAGGCACCGGCAAGGAGCGAGGCCACACGCCCCAGGCACGGCACGGCATTTCGCTCCGCCGACGCGGCCGGAATCAGCACCACGCACGCGACACGAGGGCCGGCCGGCTGTCTGGACAATCTGTGGTTTGGCAGGTGGCTAGGCAGCGCACGCGGGCTACGGTGATGGTACAGGCAATATGACGACGGGGTCGGACCCCCCAGGCAGAGACGAGCTAGTACGGTAGTAGGTTGGGTCACCAAAAAGTAGAAGGATGCAGCCGGCTACCGAGACGGAGACGAGACGAGACGAGACGAGGCCGTGGCGCGAGAAGCCCGAAGGAGGGTCGATAGAGCGGGGAGGGGAAACTGGCCGATCAACGTGCCGTTTCATCGGCGTCGATCGTGACAAAGTCCTCATCGCCATCGCCATCGCCAGAGCTGCTGGCCGGGGTCGCCGTCGACAACGCGTTGGCCTGTGGGCTGCTCGTCGGGTCGGACGGAGCTTCTACGGACTCGCCAGCACCGCCGCCACCGCCCGGCGCGCCCTGCTGCGACGACGGCAGGTCGCCCCTCAGCTGCGACCAGTCGCCCGACGAAGGCGCAGATCGCCTGCCCGTGGAGCCGTCTTCGGACGAGCCTGGACTGCGCAGCGACTCGCCCACGTCCTCGGCCAGCTGCGCTAGCGCAGTCTCGGTCGGACCTCTGGTGGCCGTGACAGCGGCAGCATCGGGAGATGCATCGCCGGGCGTCCTCGCGGGAGACGAAGCGTGCCCGCCTTGCCGCATCGGCTCGCTGCGATCGAGGTTGGGGTCGAGGTCGAAGTTGATCTTGAGGCGCGAGAGGTCCTGGGACCTGCGTCCGGCAACAAAGGCCAGGAAGGGATCGGACCCTCGAGCCTTTGTGCTCGGGCTCCCGCTGCTGATGCTGCTAACGCCGCCGCCGCCGTTGGTATCGACATTGTCACCTCCGCCGTTGGAGGCCGCAGGGCCGCCTTGACCCGCCTGCTGCATCCGCTGCGGCGACGACAGCGAGAGCGTTTCCCCAACGCCCCCTGTGTCGAGGCTCTTCGCCCCTGCCGCTTCGTCGTCCTCAGCATCGGGGTCGACGCCAAGCAAGTGGTGCGGCGCCTCGTCCTCTTCAAAGGAGGCGTCGCCGGCGTCGGCCGGCCCGTGGCCGTCGTTGTCGTCATCGTCGCCGTCGCCGCTATGCCGGAGCGGGACCGCAAAGGAATGGCCTTGGTCGTCGCCCGAGGGATCAGCGCTGTTCCGAGCTTCGGCGTGTTCACCGCTGCCGCTACCGCTAGCCTCGCCAACACCGTCGCCCATGTCGACGTCCTCGAGATCGTGGCTCTCGTCCATGTCGAACATCGGCAGAGTCGTCTGACCCAGATCGACCTGGCCCGTCCCCATGGCGCCCAAGGATCCCTCGGGCTTGTGGGGGCCTCCTTCGGCGGGTCCGAGGACGAGCGTACGCGGCGCGTCGGCCGGCGATTCGTCGCCATTGGCCGCGGTGAAGCGCGCCGCCTCGTCCGGTGTGAGGATGCCGTCGATGGCCTCGCGCACCTCGTGGGAGCGGTCGCGGGCCAGGCGCGCCAGAAGGCCGTTGAGCTCCGGCGAGCGAGACTGCGGAGAGGCGTAGAGCTCTTGGCGGCGACACATCTGGCCCACGGTGCGCGCCAGTGCGATGCGCACGTCGACGACGCGATCGCTGCCCATCTGCACCAGCCGACCAACGAGGAGCAGCTCACACGAGGAGCGCTGGATGCCCTTGTCGACGAGCGCCTGGATGCAGAGGAGGCAGGCCACCCGGAGCCGGTAGCCCTCGCTGTCGCCGAGGTCGGAAACGATGCCCAGGAAGCCGTCGGCGATGACCTGGTCATTGTCGGCGAACGTGCGGTAGAGATCGGGGACCTGGCAGCGGCGATTCGCAAGCAGATCAAGAGGGGAAGGGATGGGGGATGGAGGTGGTGAGACGAGTCGGTTGCAGGGGAAGAGGCGATGCGGGTCAGCTCGCGCGCTCTTCGGACTCGACAAAGGCGTCCACGGAGCGGCAGGTGCACGCAAACTCACACATTTGACCCCGGCGTCGCGGACCGCGCTCACCGAGTCGGCCAGCGCCATGTGCATCAGCGTCACGAGCTGGCCCTGCTCGTCGTCGAGCAGGAACTGCTTGGCCATGCTGGGGATATGGAGCGCCAGCCGCTCGCGGAGGCGCCAGTCGCGCGAAAAGTCCATCGACCACAGCGCCAGCAGCCGCTGCAGGGTCGACTCGGCCTCGGGCCTGGGCAGGCAGCGGAGGAGGACGTCGATGTTTTCGAGGACGGCGATGCGCACCTCGTGCTCGTGGTCGCCGAGGAAGCGGTCGGCCGCCGGAAGCAGGTCGTCCTTGGCGGCATCGGGCCCGATGATCTTGGCAATCTCGTGCAGCGAGGCGGCGAGGCTCTTGCGGACGTTGAGCACGGCGTGCTCGGTCAGCTCGAGGTACGTCTTGCGCAGCTGCGGCCACCGCTCAGCGCCCAGCGTCAGCACGACGGCGGGGATGTTGAACGCCACCACCAGCGGCCTGTCGGGATCGGTGTCGGTCGAGCCGAAGCCGCTGTCCCAGCGCGATCCACCCAGCGAATCGTCGCCACCGCCGAATCCGCCGATGCCTCCGCCGCCGCCACCGCCCGCACCACCCTGCGAGAAACCGAAGCTGACGAGCAGCGAGTCGGCGTCGTCGTCCGCAGCACCAGCCGCGTCCGGCTGCTGTGGCTGGCCATCGTCGCGCGAGGAATCGGCGCCAAACGAAGGGTCAAACGAGAGCGACGTCTCGCCCTGCTGCGGCGGACCGTCAAAGGGCTCGCCGATGAAGAAGCGGACCATCTCGTCGGGCACGCCCTCGGCGTCATCCTTGAACATGAAGATGGCCTCGCCGAGGACTTCGAGCGCGGCCAGGCGCACCTTGCGCGACACGTCGTTGACAAACGTGCGGAGGCTGGACACCGTCCTGCTGCGCTTCTCTGGCGCGTTGAGGCGGCCCAGGATGGCGGGCAGCGAGAAGCAGGCGGCCAGGCGAACGTGCCAGATGCGGTCGGCCATCGCCCTCTCAAAGGCGGGGAGCAGCCGTTCGGTGACAGTGTCGTGGTCGAGGTTCTTGGCCATCGGGCCGAGCGCGCCAGCCACCTCCTTGCGCACGAAAAAGGCCGCATCGTCGGCGAGGGCGAGCACCTCGGGCAGCAGGCGCTCCAGCAGCAGGTCGCGGGCGACGAGCTCCTCGACAGCGAGCGCGGCCAGCAAGCTCACCGAGGCCATCCTCCCGACGGCCGCCTCCTCGTCAATATCGGCCTTGTACTCGCTCATGTTGGGCGTGCTGCCAAAGGCAAACGGCGAGCTGCCGCCGTTCCACGACTCGAGCAGCTGGCTCTCGTCCATCATGTCGGCGTCGGCTGTCGTCGTCCCCTCGTGGGGTGAATTCTGGCCATCCTGTTCGCCCTGCCAGCGGCCCTCCTCGGTGTCGGGCAGCGGCACCGACGATGGGTGGGTCGGCGAATCGACGCCGGCCGCAATGTCGCGCTGCTGCTCCTCGTTCGGCGGATCAGCAGCAGTCGAGGCCTCGTGGCGCGCTTCCGCCGATGCCTCGTGCATGGGCGCGGCCGCGTCGCCGCCTTCCGGCGCGGAGGCTGCCTCGTCGTACGAGACGTCCTCCATCGCCTGCGGCGCCGAATCGCGGGCCTGCTCCTGGCTCAGGCGAGCGATGGCGAAGGCCACGTTGTCGAGCAGCTCCGTCCGGATGGCGTGCCTTGCCCGCTCGTCGAAGTCGTACGGCTCGTGCGGCACCGGCTGACCGTCCCGGCCGACGGCGTGGGTGATGAGGCCGTCCATGTGCAGCTCCATCTTGCGCGCCTCCTGCGCGTCGATGGCTGCCTGGTCGAGCTTCTCCTCGCCCTGGGCGCCGTGCGCGTCGGGCTTCGGCGCATCGAGCTCGCGGTTCTCGAGCCGGCAGAAGAACTGGACCAGGGATTGCTGCGTCGCGCCGGCGATGAGGTTGTTCTGGTTGAGCAGCAGCGCACAGAGCAGCGAGGTGAAGGTGCTGACGCTGATCCGAGGCCGCGTAGCCACCTCGTCCTCCTCCACCGGCCGGGCTTCCCCTGCTGCTGCTGCTGCGTTGCCGGCATCTGTGCTCGCCGACCCTTCGAGAGGCGTCGACTGCTCTGCCAGCTCCGCAAGCGGGCAGTTGCGGAAGAAAAACCACATGACGCGCGACAGCTCCGGCGCAAAGGCGGCGCAAACGTCGAGTTCTGGTCGGACCCGCCGAGCCGAAGAGGGAGCGAGTTCGCAGTCAGCGACCGTCCGCACAGAAGCCACACCACCCCCACCAAGTCAGACTCACCATCGGTACCCAGGCCGTTGAGAAGTGGGATGATGTACTCGACCGCGTCGCTCAGCTCCACGTCGCGGATCCAGTCCGGCAGCGAGCTTGCCACCAGCACGCTGCGCGGGACGTCGCATTCGGTCAAAAGCGGGGCAAAGCGGGTGGGGAGGGAAAGTCAGCGAGGCACCTCCGCGCGAGCTTGCCGTGCGTCGTAGAACCCACCGATGGTAGGCCAGATCGCTCTTGGCGAAGAGAAAGATGCGCTCGAGCGTGTTGAGGCTCTCCTCGACCTGTTCGCCGTTCGGTCCCTCGCCCATCATGTTGTCGTCGACGGCCTCGGCCATCCCTGCAGCGTCGAGACCCAGGGCTGACGGTTGAACCGCGTCATTTATCTGCAGCCCTTCATCCATGGCTAAGGGAGGCGGGACGGCCGAGCCGCTGTCTCCCTGATCTTGCTGGTCCTTGAAGTAGGTCAGCAGGCTCGCGCCCTGGGACCCCTTGTGCACGGCAAGCGCCCTCGCCGACGACTCGGCGCTGGCGAGCGGATCGAGGACCGGCGGCGGTGCCGGGACTGCGCCGGACCGAGTCAGGCTCGGTCGCTTCGGCAGACTCGGTCGAGCTGGCGGCTCCATGTCCAAGGCCATGTCGCCGTTGACGAGGCCATTTGCCGCCTCGCCGCCGGGCACTCGCGACCGCAACGCATCGCCGTTATGCTTCCCCTCGACGCTGCCATCGGCGCCGGACTCGCTAGCGTCCGCCATGCTCTCATCCAGCATCGCGTCGTCTTCGTCGCGGTGGTGTTCGTCGGCCTCGTCGCACGAGTCTTCGTCCTCGCCGTTGGTGCCGACGCTGCCCTGGCCGGAGCTCGAGCCGTCTTCTTCGGAGCCGACGTCGTCGGGGTCGTCGCTCAGCTCGTAGCCCGACCGCGGCGGCATGGCGATGAAGCTGCGCGTCTTGGGCGGACTCTCGGAAAGCTGCATATCGTGCTGCGAGGGGGCGTGTGTCGTCGGCGACGAGAGCTGGAGGAACGGCGATCTCGGAGACGTCGCAGAACTCGCCGTGAGGATGGGGAGGACGGGTCGATGCAGCGCCGTTTGCGAGTGTGCGTCCGCATCGCTCGTCGTGTCGGCCCTTTTCGACGGTTCGGTGGCGTCGGCGGTGGCATCCATTCTGGTCGACGAGACGCCGCTCGCTGGCGGCGTCTTCGCCTCGGTCAACGACGTCGCTGCAGGCAGCGCCGCCGCGTCGCCGTCGGCGGGCGCCACTGGATTGAAGCCAATCCTGGGGATGGGCTCGCTCTTGGACGTCTCCATGCCCCTCTGCCGCGGTGCAAGACCACCACGGAGGCTGCGAGGGGATCCTGGCTCCTCCTTGCTCAGCGGGAAGCCGGCCACGCGCAGCGTCGGAGAGGACGACGAGCCCCTGAGCTCGTGCGGCCGCCGCGCCTTGGGCCTGCCTATTGTCGGGCTCGTCGAGTACGGGCTGCCAGCCAGGTCCTGGTGCGCACGCGGAGAGCGGGAGAGCAGGGAGGCGTGGTCCGACTGCTGGTGCGTGAGCGGGGACGAGTGCGGCGAGGGGCGGCTCCCGCTGCCGGCCGACTCGGACGGGCTGCTCGACGACGCCGTCGACGCGGGCGAGCCGAGGCGCTTGATGTTCTGCGCGCGGTCAGACGTCGGCGAGCGCGGCCAGACAGAGTCCCAGCTGTGCTGCGGGTCCGGATTGGCCGGCAGCGTCGGCGGCGAGGCCGAGGGCAGGAAGATGGGCGACGGAGGTCGGTGGGTGCCGCCGAGCTCCGAGCTGATCCTGCGCGCATGGCCGCTCATGCCGCCGCTCGAGTACGGCGCCAGGCGCGGGGATATCGGCTTGCCCGAATAGTGGCCGCGGGCAGGCGAGGCGGTCCTCTTGGACGCGTCCTTGCTGCCCAGGCCGCTGGCACCGCCACCACTTCCGCTTCCGCTTGCGCCTGCGCCAGGGACCTTGTTGTCAGCCTTCCTGGCGGGGTTGACCGGTCGAGCGTCCGAAGACGACAACGACGACGACGACGCGGAGGAAGCCTGCTCCGGCGAGCCCTCGCCACCACTGGAGCTGGAGATGGACCCGTTGCTGGCCTTGCGCGGAATGGGCCGAGCCAGGCCAGCAGCAGTTGTTGCGGCGTGAGCGGTGCCGGCTCCAGATAAGCTTGTTAGCGAGACGCGCTTCTGCAGCGGCTGGCCACCGCCGCCGGTGACAGACCCGCTCGGAACCGCCGATGCAGGAGGTGAGGTGACGTCCTTGGCGCCCGCCTCGCTGCCGATGGGCGACTTGGGACCATCGACCGAGCCGTTCGCAGCGACCGACGACGAGCCCTCGGCGCTGGAGGCCGAGAGGAACTTTGCAATGTCGCCCTGCAGCGGACCAAAGCCGAGGATGGGGCTGGTGCGGTCCTTTGTGTCGATCGAGTGGGAGCGCTGGTGGTGCCGCCCGCCTTCGGCCGCCCTCCTGACGGCCGGGTTGAGGTGCTTGGCAGCGCCTCCGGTCGAGGGAAAGGCCAGGCTGTTGGGCCGGCTCGAGGACGCCGCAGTCGTCGTCGTCTCGCCCGCCTGCGGAGTCGCCTCCTTTTGCTGTTCAGCTTGGCCAGTCATGGTCGGCGCAAGCGGCTCGATCGGACCGACAGAGATCCACGAGCGACGCCGGAGAAGCTTGGCGCTGCAGGACGATGATGGCGCCGTGGACGATGGCCTTGGGCTAGTTTTAGCGCTGCGATCGGAGGAAGCGGTCGCGAGTGACACTCGAGGGGTTGACCGTCGAGGCTGTTCGGAGAAGACGAGAGGAAAGGAGCGTGGTGGGACCTCGAGGGACAGGTCTACGAATCGGGCTGCCTGTACGAGGCTGACTGGATCGCAGGTGGTGGTCCGAAGGGGGGTTTGGAGCGCGGTAAGAGTGGTCTCGCTGCGGCGTCGTGCAGTGGACCGAAGCCGTGGGTGGTGGGTGGGCGAAATTAACAAAGGCAGCGGATGGTGGTCATGGCGATCCGGATCCAGTCAGAAGAGGATGGTGAGGGGAGTGTGGTGGGAAGCGGCGGGACGATCCCGACTGAAGGTCCGGGCGATTGTGACGTGCCGGTCTCGCGTCGATAGCAGCGAGAATGGGCCGGTGCTGGCAATGCGATGGCAGGGCGTCGCGGCGTGATGGAACTGGAGACGGCGGTCAGGACGCAGATGCCGGTAGGCAGGATGACGACGAGCGAGCTAGGCCGCGACCGTCGAAGCGCGATCCGTCGGTCGGCCGAGCAGGGCAGCGGATCTCGCAGCGCGGCGTAAAGAGCAGAACCCAAGCAGGAGCAGGTCGCGATGCGGTCGCGGTGATGGACAATCGGGGCCGACGAGCGAGCAGGATGTGTGGTAGAGCGTTTCCGCCGCAGCAGGTGGCGAGAAGGCGGATGGTGGGCGGTGGGCGGTAGGCGGTGATGATGGCGAGAAGACGGCCGGCTATCGAGCGTCGTCGAGGTCGGGAGCGGCCGCAGCGTCTGCAGCTAGCAAGCAGCGTCTGGCAGAGGTTGCACCTCGATGCGGCCGCGGTGTTTTTTCTCTGCCTGCCACAGGCCTGTCTGCTGGGCCTGCCCCGCGGCCTCTCTGGCTTCTCGCATCCAGAGTGGCAGGCGCGCGACGTCGGCCCGCCCTGGCCTGGCCAGGCCCTGGATCGGGCTCTTGGCGCTACCGCTACCGCCGGGTCGCCCCTTCTTTTCTCGTTTCACCGCAGCAGCATGCCATCTCCGTCATGCTTTAGCAGATTGTGTGGGTGTTGATGTGCGCGTGCGAAGCCTTCGACGACTTCGGCTCGCCATGTCCCGCTGCCATGGAGCCAATTGGCGTTTCGTCGAGGGGCCCGTTGGCAGCCAGAGGCTAGTGCGCGTGCAAGCCGACCAGCGATGCCGACAGCGGATCCGAGCCAACTGCCCGGAGCGAACGCAGCCGCCGCCCGAGCCAGCCTCTCCTCCACACACGGCCGTTGGGCCTGGCCTTGCCCTCCGGCTCTCGGGAGCCAAAGCAAGCGAGCCCTGGGAAAGGTTGCTTGCATGAGCATCCCTCCCGGGCGGCCTCTCTGGACGCTCCAGCCCGCCTTCCTGTCGACTGCTCTCGATCCACCATCTCGACCGCCTTCCTCGCAGCAGTAGCAGCAGCAACAGCAGCAGCAACGATGCCCATCTTCAACATGCTCCACTCCTTTGCCTGCGTCTCCGGCGCCGTCGGTGTCGGATTCGGGTGCGTGCCCCGCGTCCTTTGTCCTCACCACCAACCGCCGCTCCCCGTGCCACTGTGACCGGCTGACACCTGCTTCTCGCTGCCCCATGCGCCTGTGCTCTCGAACCGGTCCATGAACGACGACACCTGCAGCGCGATCGGCGCTCACGCCCTCAAGGCCAAGCTCAATGCCCACCGTACGTCCAGCCCCGACGACCTGGAGCAGTGCCGCCGCCCAACCATTGACGACGCGAGCTGACGAGTGCCCACCTGCGTCCCCTTTCATCCTTCCAACAGAGTCGGCCGCATGGTCGACGGCGACCCAGTACCAGCTCATGCACTCGCTGGCGCTCCTCTACGCCCTCTCGCTCCCCAAGTCGAGCGCCGTCGTCGCCGCCAGCTATGCCTTCGCCACCGGCATCACCCTCTTCTCTGGAAGCGTGAGCATCCCAACGCCTCTTCGCTGTCCTGCCCAACCATGCCGAGCCACGCTCCTGGCTTAGCCGCAAAGGCTGACTCGTCCTTCGTCCACCCGCCCTTCCTCCTCTTCTCCTCCTCCCTCGCCTCGCCGCCAGATCTACGGCCTCTGCCTCACCAAGACCGACAACCCCATCCGCAAACTCCTCGGCCCAGTCACGCCCCTCGGAGGAATCTCGTTCATCGTCGGTTGGGTCCTCCTCGCTTACGCCAAGCGTCCGCCGTCGCTCCGCCGATAGTCGTCATGGCCGTGGCTGCCGCCCTTGGCTACATCAGACCATTCACCTCGTTGATCCCATCGAACATGTCCATCGAGATTGCATCGAGCGTCGTTGCTGCTCGGCATCTGGCTGATCGCATCTTTTGAGGAGTCGCCACGAGGCGCGGGACGTCTTTGCTCTGTGGCGAGATCGCGTCAAGGAGTCGGGACCAGTCGAGCGGAGAGGGCGCTCCAAAGGGGTTTGCGAGTGCGTGGCAGCCATTGTGCCAGGATCGGGTAGGATCTGGTTGCAGTCGTCCACGGGTCCGACCTGAGCGAGCCAAGTGAGCGGCCGGCTTAGGCGAGCCCGTTGTCGTACCCGTACGAGGCCCGGCTCCTTTTTGAAGGCCCCGCCACGCTCGACGGCGACGGCGCCATCCTCGACGGAGGCGCATCGAGACGGAGCGCCTGGTCGAGACTGCTGGGTCCTCCCCCTGCACCCAGCGGGTAGCCAGAGATACGGTCGGTCACAAAGCCCACCGGCTGAGCATGGACAGCGTACGCGGCATCCGCCGCCTCTGGCATGCCCGTGAAGAACGACACTTGATGCGCCTTCGAAGCAGAGGGTGGCATCGTGTTGTTGAGGCAGGTGGCGCCGGCCATGCTCGTGTCCCAGCCTGCGACCGACCCTGCCGTCTGCCTAAGCCCCGAATGGCTGCTCACGGTCTGCTGGCGGTACCAGGCATCGACTGGGCCGACCGGCAGATGGCCGGTGTTGGTCGTCGAGCTGCTGTAGCCGGGCATCGTTGTTGCCGTGACGAAGGGGCCGTCTGCTGGGGTGGCGACGGCGGTCGAGGCGGCGGTGATCGGGCCGGAGGCGTTCATGATGGAGGCTGGCTCTTGCAATGGCAGCGGCATGGCCAGAGGAGGGCCTTCCGCGGAAAGCTCTGGATGATCCACCCAGCCCTGCCTGGGCGGCCAGCCGCCGTGGTTGACGGGCGGGACGTAGGGGCCGGGAGAGGATGCTGCAGTCGCTGGCATCGGTCCGCGCAAGTGGTCCCCCTCGACCGCGAACACAAGGTGCTGAGGGCCGGGCAGAGCAGGGCGCATCTCCCCCGGGCCACCGTTCTGGATCGAGCCTGAGCTACCTCGCCAGCCCAATCCGGCCACGCTCGCAGGCAAGGCCAGAGGCGAAGGCGATAGCACATCGACCCGGCCGGTGACGATCGTCGATGACGCCGTCGGTACGTGGTCGCGGGCGTTGCGGCGAGACCAGTTCTGCGCAGCGTCGTTACTCGTAGCTCGGGCGTTGCGGCGAGACCAGTTCTGCGCAGCGTCGTTACTCGTAGCTCGGGCGTACCAGCTCGCCATCGCCATTGCGGCCCCCAGCACGGGTGCCAGGCCGGCGTAGAGCGGCAAGAGGTGGCCCTGGTGACAATTCGGACGTCAGGAGTGCAAGCAGAAGCCAGCCGTTGCTCGGAGGCAAGAAGAGAGACTCACGAGGTCCTCGAGGAGCCGGCAGCCCATATCGAGCCGGTCGCGGACCGCCGATCGGTCGCTGTCATTGATGTCGACGTGCTCCTGCCAGATGAGGATGCTGTTGAACGGAACGGGGACCAAAAACCAAGGCATGGCGTCAGCGGCGCACTTCCACGGCTTCGGAGAGCATCAGGTCCACCTCGGGACGTCCGCTCAGCTGGACGATATGCACCTGACAAAAGCCTCGAATGCCTGCAGCACGTTGAGCACATCCAGCTCCGACGCGGGTGTCCGTTCCATGAGCTGCACGCAAAGGTCGACGATGACCACCGAGATGCGCAAGAGCCGTGCTGCAAGGTCCGGGACCGCGGCATGGCCAGCCATGAGCACTTTGCTCCAGCACGACTGACCCTCGATCCGCAGGGCCAAGACCGCCGACGCGAGGCTCGGGTTGTGGGCCTGTGCCAGCCGGCTCTTTTCGTCGGCGTCCTCGAGGCAGTGGTGCCAACCGTCGAGTCTCTCGGCGACGGCCCTGACGTCCTGCGCTTCGCCCGTCTGGAGACGGGTGGCATCGGCTTGCAGCCGCCTGATCTGGTAGCCTAGGACGGCTGTGGTCTCGGCGCTGGTCTCGGGATCGCTGCCAATGGCGTCAGGATTGCGCTTCGGGGTGGCGATGGGGAGCTGAGGTTTCGAGGGCGAAGCTCAGTCGAGTGGGCTGAGCTCGACTCAATCGCCCGGCAGAATCCATGCCTGCTCCAGGCTCACCTCGGCAAAGACATCGTACGGCCACGGCTGCGGCGCCTTCTGGAGGCAGGCCCAGGCGTCTGGAAAGGGAGCAGGAGCGGACATGAACATGGTCAGTCGGAGACGACAGGCCCGATACGGTCACAGACCCCAGCGAACATGTCCCCACCGTGGCGGTAAGAGTAGCAAGACCAGAAGAGGTGCTGAGGGGCCAACGAAGGGCACGGATGAGACCAGCGTCAGCTCGGCGCTACCCCAACGGTCGATGTCGACTCGACGACGGCAGCTCACTTGCAGAAGCTCTGTCTGCTCCCCCGAGCGGATGCCTGCAGTTGCGTGCGGCCCACGTCCAGCTAGGGTGGCCAGGTCCATGGCTAGGCCACTCAGCTCGAAGAGCTCGACGACGTCGCCACACACTCGAGCGATGCTGGCCAGCAGCAGCTTGAGCCGGATGTTCTCGACGCTGTGCAGCGGTATGGTGATCGAGTGCGACTTCGAGGACGCCTCTGTTCGAAGAAGCAGGAGCGCGACGTCAATATGACTGCTGACATCTTGTCGCTCTCTTCGACCGCCCGCGCAGCTATCAGTAGGATCGTCGTCCTCACCTCGGACCAG